AATTGAAATATCCCGAGCGAGAAACAATGGAGCCAATCTTCAACTAAATTTGCTGGGCTCGTAGACAACTCATCGCATATCATTGGGTTGAGATGTCTGGCGTGACGCACGTTACTCCGCCTCCAAAAACGGACATGGAGGGGCCTCGGACGAATGTCAAACTCATTCGTGCTCGGAAGGTCGGGCCAGGGTTCCATGCGATCTCCTTTCTTCAAATGTAAGGTGTCGAAATCGCGTTCTAAGCACCTGCCTCGGTTGCCATCCGTACGTTTGTCGAAGAATAGCGATCCTCGCAACCGTGGAAAATCATCATCTGTAACAACTCTGTCATATTCACATGCCCGACATTCGTCATCGTAGACAGCACTGGTGATGGTGTTCCATGGCGCGCCCATCGGGCTGACACCGAGGAATCGGCTCCAGTTCGCTTGAGTGCAATCGCATTTCGGGCAAGGATACTCGACGCTGTGCCCAGAAGCAAATCCCATAGTCCCAACGTTCTCGCTCCAGTCTGCTTTCAAGAACAACAGAACAGCGCGCCACCCAAATTGGGTGCCAGCGCACGAAGCCTCGCCCACGTCGGAGGCCCCCCATGGGGACCCACCTGGGCGCGCCTCAGGCCACCTTCCGCCCTGCATAGATAAAAAAGACCACCGAACCATCGACAGCACAGCGTATATTGTGCACCACATGCGGCACCCGCATTTGCAAGCATCGCTCTTGCGGGCTACCGCGCACAAGTGGCGGACACGTGTTACGATGTTGTACACGTAGAAGCCGATGGCCGCGTCGGTCCCGGCGAAAGCAACGCCGTCCGTGTCGACCGCCAAAAGAAATACAGGTGCGCCGTGTGGAGTTCCTGTGACCACAGGGTGCTCTGTGTAGGCCCGAGGCATGATACCAATGTCGATTGCTTCTTGGAGGCGCTGTCTGATGTCGGGCGTGTTCTCGATCTCTTCGTGAATTGCCACGTGGGGAGGCGTTGTCGGCATGTCTACGATCACCCTCGAAAGGTCCGAGCGATGTGACATGGGCAGCTTGATGTGCAAGTAGTGTTCATCAGAAGCTCGCGATCGCATCACTGCGTCCCAATGTCTGCTCCAGCGGCCCGATTGCCGAGTGTCGGCCGGCTCCAGGGCGAGCTCGTTGACGTAGCCAATCACGCCTGCTTTGGTAGCCCAGTGGGCCAGCAGATAACACCTTCTCAATTTTTCAACTGGACGATATAGTCCGCGAGGATCTCGGCACCCTCCTTGCGAGAATCGGCCACGTGCTGATCCTCCCACGGCGCAGCAACTTCCCAAGGGCAGGCCACGCAAGCCAGTAGGCGCGAGCGAGACCTGTCTGTTCCACAATCATATTTGAGCCAGAACGGCTGCGGGTGATCAGCAGGGGGGGGGGGGGGGGGGGGCGAGGCCACCGGCCACCAGCAGGGGGGGGCGGGCGGTTGTTAAGGGCGTTTCGGTTTTGACGAGCGTCTCCAACTCACATACGTAGCGTAGAATACACTGAATGAGAAGGGACGGTGTGGGATATGTTTACGCAGGGTCTTGAAGCAGGAAATGTTGATGCTCAGCTTCCCGACGCTGCCCCCCCCCCCACTCCTGCGCGCGAGAAGACATTCATTATGGGGGGGGGGGGGGGGGGGGGGGGGGGGCGCTTCCCGTCATCCGCCAAAAGCAAGACTCTGTCCCTCCTCGCTCGTCACCTCCTCCTCCTCCCCCTCCCCCCCCCCTCCTCCTCCTCCCCCCCCTCCTCCTCCTCGTCGTCCTCCCCCTCCTCATCCTCCTCGTCCTCCTCCTGGGCGGAGCCTTGGCCAGTTGCCGCGGCGCTGCTCTGATTTTGATGCTCTCCTCTCCGCGGGTCAGGGCGTCTCTTGCGCCGTTTCACCCCTTGGATTTTTCGGAGCGGACCCGATGGCAACGCGCGAAAATGCGCAAAGGCCTTGGCCCAAGCTTGAAGTACGAGAGAGAAGAGGAGGGAGATGAGGGAGAGCGGAAGGGAGAGGCGGAGGAGGGATATGAGGAACCAAGGAGTGGGATCTGAGGGGAGAGGAGGGGGGGGGGGGGGGGGGGGGGGATGGGGGGGGAGAGGGTAGAGCAACAGTGCATTTTGCATGTTTCTCTTGCTCTATCGACGGGAAGATTGCCTCGCAGGTGCGGGGCCGCAGCTGCATCGTCCGACGCCGCGCTCGCTGGCCCAAAGCGGAGGGGGGGGGGGGGGGCGAGGAGGCGAGGGGAATAGGAAGGATGACGGGAGGCGAGGGGGCACGGGGGAGGAGAGACGCTCGGGGAATGAGGAAGTAGGAGGGAGGAGGGAGGATTGGGAGTGGGAGAGGACGGCGGAAGGTGGGCGGGGTACTCACACTATATGTTCGGCGCTTGGCCTCGATGACCACCCGTTTGATGAGATGGATGTCCGCGCTAGTAGCAGAAACACATATTCCAGGAATCATCAAGTTTCATCAAGTTTCATCAAGTTTCATCGAAGGTAGGGTTGGTGAAACGCAGCCCTAATGTCATCAATGAAATGTGGGTTTCGCTTGAGACATCCTCAGAAAATGAACGCCGCAACGCTGATGACATCAGGGCTGGGTGACATTTGATGACATCGAATGTCATCCGCCTCGGCACCTCCCTGTGATCTCTGACACCTCGGGTTTCGTAGGCCCCAGCCTCCGCGGACTGCCTCGAGCGCGGGGAAACTGCAAAGACGTTGCCAGCGCGCTGGCGCGGCCTGTTCGGAGGCGCCCGCCATCCCGACAGCGAGCGACGATCGCAACATGTGCCCCTCTAAACGGGGGTGGTGTTGCAGATCCCCCAGGCGAGCGCATCACTAACTAAAAGCAGTGATGCAAATGCCCGATCGGCCTGCCTGGCATGCCAATCACTCGTCGGAAGCAGCCGCGGTCAGGGGCTCCTGGTGCATGCGGTGCGCGGGCTCGTTCTGCTTTGTCGCGGACGCCGTGAACTTCTTGAGCTCATCAGTGCGGCCAGCCTCGGTCATGATGAAGTGCTCGTCCCAGGTCTTCTTCGCGCGCGCGGCGAACGCGTTGCCCTGGAGAAAGCACTGCTCCCAGAACTCCGAGCCCTTCTTGAAATTATGGATCCTATCCCGAACTGAGCGGAGCTTTTTGAGCTGGTGGTCGTTGTTTGCCCAGCTCCACTCTTCATTGGACGCGATCTGGCCTGGGATGTCGGAGGTAGTCTGCATGGCCAGCATCGCGTCCTTCTTGGCAGCCATGGCGCTGGAGATCGCCTTGGACAACTCCTTCTTGCGAGCAGTCTCTCCGTCGTCGGGCTCGGAGTCGGCGGGCTGGCCCTTGCCCGCGCCTGCAGCTGCAGCTGCAGCCCCAGCCTTGGTGGCTTTCGCTGCCTTGCCGCTGGGCTTGGCCACGGCCTGGCGGGCGGGCGCGCTGTCGTCGCCGCCGCCAGGGTCCTGACGATCATCTTCATCATCGACCTTCCCTGACTCGGCGGGCTCGTCCAGCCTCGATCTCTTGTGGAGGCCGATGGTCTTCTTGTGCTGCGCTGCGACGTGCTCCTCGATGTCCAGGAACACCGGGCGCTTGCTCCGACGGTTGAACTTCAAGTACGGGTGTCCGCGGAAGAGCCTGCCAGCTTGCCAATCTGCGATGCAACTCTTGACGATCTCGATGCCAGCCTTGAACGCGGGCGGGTCGTTGCCCTGGAGCTGCACGACCTTGCCGAACGGCCTGTAGTAGCCGTTGATCTCAGATAAATCCGTGAGCTCCTCGGACTCGGTCTTCATCACTTCGATCCGCTTGGTGAGCTCCGTCTTCGCCCACTTGACCCTGAAGGCGTTCTGGGCCTGTCGATTTTTACCAACTTGTGTGTACTTACGCTTCAACGAAGCGTTGTGTTCTTTTTCTCTCTGGAAGTCTTGGCCGACAGCGGAGCGCAAGTTGACGTCTCCATCGTCAATGCACTTCTTCAGGAGCCTCATCTTGTCGGTGAAGTTGCTTACGTCTAGATGGCCCTGCTCGAACTCCGCCTTGGTGCTGGGCGGCGCGCGTTTGTCGATGAGCTCGCAAAGTTCCTCTTCGGTGGCCTGCTTCTGGACGTCGACGTCTGATGTCTGCGGAATCCCGCACTTACTCACCAAAGCCTCGAACGCACGTTGCCAAGCCGCCCCCTCGCTCTCGGTCGGATTAGCTGACGCCGACGCCGGTGGCGACGAGGTCTCAGCCGCCTGGAGTTCGGCGAGGGCCGAAGCGCCGAGATCGGCCATCGTCGCGGCTTGTTCCGTGCCGAAGTCGCAGCACCGATGCAGCAAGACTCTGGCGATCGCGAGTTTGAGCCAAAACGGCTACCGACTTGATGAATTTAATGTGACGCTCTCGGGCTAGAGTTTGCCGCGGGCCCATCCCAGCTGGGAGTCCAGGAGCGCCAGTCCCTCACGATAACCAGAGTGGGTCTTAGAATATTGTCGCGGGTATGAGTTTTTTTTGGGGGGTGGGCCCCGAAAGTTTATCCCTTGTCTGGCAAGCGGCCAACCTCCAAACAGAACGGGCAAACCATGCCTTCAGGCACCGACCGACGAGGAGGAGGACGAGGAGGAAGAGGGGGCGAATGAGGAGGAGGAGGAGGAGGAGCAGGAGGATGAGGATAACATGGAGGAGGGCGATGAGGAGGGGGATAAGGAGGAGGAAGGAGAAGGACGAGCAGGCCATCATGTCCGCTCTGACCCGTAGGACGGACCACGAGAGAGGACACAGCTGAAATGACAGCGTTGTGTGTTTTGTTTTATATGTTTTTCACGGCCGCAATGGGTTGGACAGAGAGGCTCGCCACAGCGTAGATCTGGATTCAGAACAATCTCCAACGATACTGATTTTATCTTGAATGAACGCGCGTGGTGCGCAAAACAACTGATTCAATGGCCGAGCCGATCGAGCTTCGAATCCTCTGACCCCAAGGCGCGCCTCGTCGCGCCCTCTCGACGCCAAACGCGTCGCGATCTGCTCTGGGCGGCCGTGCTCAGAAGTCAGACTCAGAGTCCGTGTCCATCAGAGGTTCGTCGAAGCCGAAGCCCTTGGGCATCGCCGCCTTCTTGGATTTGGACACGGCCGCCTTCTGCGACGTGGCCGCCTTGTCGCCGCCGTTGGCCTTGGTCTCCGCCGCCACCACTGGCGTAGACAAGTCTGCCTTCTCTGCTGGCGCGGCCCCTCCACCAGGCTCGCTCGCAGTCTTGGGGCACTTGGCGCTGCTGCGGTCGCTGCCCGCAGCTGCGGCAGGACGCTTCTTAGCAACTGGTGTGGCGGCGTCGGTGATCTTCGGGGTGCTCTTCGGCGGCGGGTCCTCCTTGCAGATGCCAATCTTGTTGATGATGGTTTTCTTGTGGTAACCGATGTCCTCGTGCTTGATGGCTCCCTCCGCGTACTTGGTCACGAGGTCTGTGAGCATCGCGACTGCCTTCTCGCGCGCCGAATTGCAGTGGCTCTTGCCAAGGATGAACTGGAACACTTGCCGCGGCTTCGTCTCGCCCTCGTTCAGCTGGTGCACGAGGAAGACGATGCCATGTATCTTGTCAAGCTTCTTGGCAAGCGTGAGCTCGCCCTTGAGCGTGTCGCTGGTCATCTTGAACAAGGCCCTCTTCTTCTTCAGGAACTCCGCCTCGCGCCAGGCCTCGAACTCCTCGACCGCGACGTGGGAGACAGCGTGCACCATGTCGCCCCACTTCGCCTTGCAGAAGTCGGCCTTCGTCGAGCCTTCGTCCACGTAGATGTCGGCGTACTCCTTCTGGCCCTTCACCCCCTTGCAGCGCCGCGCTCGCCTGTGCTCCGGGTCGTAGTCGTGCGCGAAGTCCTCGGCGCTCGCAGCCGCTGGAGTCGCAGCCGCCGTGGTCTTGCCCTGCATCCTGGCGCGGTGCTTTGGGTGCACCAGCTACTCGGGTGGCTGCGAATCCTCCTCGGCTGGGTCTCTCCAGCCACCGGCGGGCGGCTCCTCGGAAGACTCGGTGCCGTCAGGCGGCTGCTCGGCAGACTCGGTGTCATCTTGGAGCCCTCCGCAGCCTGGATCATCTTCATCTGGATCGTCCCCGTCCACGCCCGCGCTGTCCTCCTCGAAGATCTCCGTCTCCCCCTCCATTGGCGGGGCGGTGCCGAAGACCTGGCTTACCCATGTCGGCTGAGACCTGTCTGGGCGCTGGGACTGCTTCACCTTTCTGAGCATGTCTCGTAAGACCTCGGCCATCTTCTCGGCCCACTGCTCCTCGTAGTCTGGATTCAGGTTTGTACCCCGCGAGCCCCTCGCCCTCTTCAACACCAGCCTCATCAGTTTCTGTGCGTCGTGCTTCTGGAAGCTGAGCGTGTCCGAATGTGCGTGCATGATCTGCGCGGCCTCCCGTTTAGCTACGATGGTCTCGCAGTTGTCGAGCGTGCTCGGTAAGCGCGTGGCCGAAGTCCAAATTGTTGCCAGCTCTGAACTGAGCTTGTCGAGCGCTGGCTCGTCGATAGGTGCTGAAGGCTTGCGGCCCGACATGGGCGCGTCGCGGGCCAAGGCGTCGGAGGCGTCACGAGTTTGTGCCAAAATGGCTACGGAAGGCAATAACGTGAATCTGCCATCTGCAAAGTCGTTCACACACCAAGGACCCTTACGCAGACTGGTGCAGGAGGAGGAGGAGGAGGAGGATGAGGAGGAGGATTACCTCCTGGCCGTCTCTGAGGTTTCTTGGGGCCCTCGCGGAGCTGTCTTGAGGCCGCCGAGGGGGCCCCCCAGGCAGTCATCTTGCCACTGTTTAGACCCGGCCATCGCTGAAACAACATGGGTATCACACGCTACACATGTCGAGCTGGCTTCCTTTTCTCTTTATATGTCTGGGCAATGTGTTAGGTCCTCCTCCTCCTCCTTCCCCTCCCTCCGTAGCCATTTTGGCTCAAGCCATTTTGGCTCAAGCTCAAGCAATTGGGGCTCAAGCCTCTTTGAGCCTGCCTCCGCGCCGTCTCGAGGTGCCTGAGGTCACGTGTGCCGAGGGAGACCGCCGAACCAGAGGCAATCGCAATCGGATTATTTCACTCGCCATGCCTCCTTCGCGTCGCAAGGGCGGCGGCTGGGCAGGCTGGCATGGCCGTCGCGGCGATCGCGATTATCCTTGGAAGTGTGGGCGCTGTGGCTGCGCCAAGAACTTGGGGAGATTCTGGTACTGCAAACAATGCGGTGGCAAAAAGAGTGATTGTGACGTCGCACTACTTCAGGGTGACGTTGGAGATCTGTGGACCGACTGGGAGCGGCCCCAAGGTGGGGGACCTGCCGACCCCGCGCCCGCGGGGCTTCAGGGGCGCGGGCCCCCGCCAGCCATCATGGGGAACCAGGAAGCGCTGTCGGGCGGTGAGATCCAGCAGCTCATTGAACTCAACAAGAAGATGGGCAATCAAAGTTTGGCTACGGCATGCCAACTTCGCCTTGATCAGCGTCGGACCGCAGTGGGGCCCATCCCGCCCCAGACGCAGGCCACCACGGTCGACCGTCACATCAAACAGCTCGAGAAGAAGCTCAGCGCCGATATGGGTCAGTATGAGCGTTGGAAAAATTGGCTCGACGCCAAAAAGGAGTCAGTTGCCAAGACCAGAGTTGAGCTTCGAGATGAGATTGCTAAACATAAAGGCTTGGTTGAGCAGTTACCCAGCCAAGTATGTTCGCCAGCTCCGATCCAGCAGAAGACCCAGGTCACGCTACAGGAGTTGCTCAGCGGCAATGGGGAGTTCCTCGGCCTCTCCAGCGTCGAGAGCGCTTTCGGTGTCGATGGCGACGTCTACGAGATTCAAGATTCAGATCGAGAGGAGCTCGCAGCCAGATCGCAGCAGCTACGTGAGCAGATCTCCAATGCGGCCAAGGACCTCTTCGGCCAGGCTTCGCAAAAGTTCCAAGAGCTCAAGAGCGCGCACAAGGCTCGCGTCCTCCGTCTCGGCAAGAAGCGCAAGACCAACGAAAGTGAAGCTACAAGTGGTGCCACTGAAGCAAGAGCTGGCGGTGGAGCAGGATCTAATGACGGAGCTGGTGGAGCGGCACCAAAGGGCGCGGCAGCGAAGGAGAGTAGCAGTGTGGGCCATGGGTCATCGACCTCGTCGGCCACGGCGCTCTTGGAGTCTGCAGACAAGCTCTTGGGCCCACTACCTCAGCAAGCAGTCCCCCCTGTCGTCGCGTAGTCGGCGGGGGGGCCCTCACGTTCACGGTTCGCCCGATATTCCAAGTGGTCCATCGGCCACGTCCTCATCCCCACCGGCGCCCGATTCGGTTCTCGGAAATACTAGGTCAGGAAGTTCATCGGCGAGGGCTCCCTCGTCGGCGATGTCGGCTGAACGGGCTTCGAGGAGTTCTGACAGCCATCATCTCTCGTCGGCCAGCAAGCTGGCCAGCAAATTTTTTAGGCTCCCTGCTGAAGGAGCCCTTCCATCTGACCATTCTAAGTTTTATCAGTGCCCCCATGCCTTGCCTGCACGTTTCAGTTAGCAGTCGAGACGATCAATTGCACGGCGTGGTCATCGATTGAGTCCTGGGTCGAATCCTCGACTTCGCACGTACTGCTGGTTCAGGAACATCGTTTGGTGAGCGCTGACGACATCGCGAAGGCAGGACAGTGGGCACTGAAGAGGGGATGGAAAGCTAGATTCGCTCCAGCGTTACGAACCAGAGAGGGGGGTTCCTCTGGAGGGGTGGCGATTTTGGTTCGACAGCATCTTGGATTTCACGATCCCGATTTGAGGCTGTCGTCGTCCCCCACAGAGCCCTGAATGGTATTGTTTCGGTCCCTGGAGCTCCTCAAACTTTGTTCACGGCCCTATATCTACATGACAGTGAGGACCTCTCTGACAGGAGCCTCGCAATCCTAGCAGCAGTTGGATCTCGGCACAGCGAGTTTGCTGGCCCACATTGTATCGGAGGTGATTTCAACATGACGCCTGAAGTTGTGGCCGATTCGGCAGTGCCAGGCTGGTTGAAGTCTAACATATTCACGAAGGATGGGACATGTACCAGCACGGGAGGAGCTCGTGCGTTAGATTTCTTCATCTTGGCTGCAGGCCTCAGCCGATGCTTGCAGTCTGTCGAGACGGTGCTCGGCACCAATATCAAGACGCACACCCCCGTGCGCATCCTCTTCCACCCGCAGTTGGTTGAGCTCAAGGCCCTCCAGTTCCTGAAGCCCCCGAAGCTTCCAGCAGAGCGGCCAGTCGGCCCTCAGCCTCATCCTCCAGACCTCTCGGAGGTTTTAGATTGCGCCAACTATGGCATGGAACTTGTGGCTCGGAAGGCCCCCAGAGGCCAAGTGCAGCGGCGCCTCGACGCGCTGTATCGTCTCTGGGGTGATACCGCCGAGTGGGAATTGTCTCAGGTCCTCCAGACGGACCTGCCTATTTGGGGTACTAGGGGCAGACGGCCTCGCCTGGCCTGGGTCTCTGCGCTCGACAGGGACTCCAGGGCCTCTTACAAGGACCCCATGCTGTTCGCAGGCAGATGGCTGTCTCGCTCCATTCGGTTTCTCCTGGGTGCCATGGCCGACGGCGACGTCGTCACTTTCAACAAATATAAACATCACATCCTGGAGGCGCCTCAAGAGATTTTCAAATATTTGGGAGACTTCCTGGAGGTATATCGCGAGCGTTCAGATCTGGTCCTGGGCTTCGAGGGTGTTCATGCTGATTCGGGAGGTCTTCTTGAATGTCAAGCTCTTCTTGAACCCAGATTAGATGAGTATGCTAGGGCTTCCTTGCAGCGGTCGTTGAAGGCGTGGCGTAGCTGGCTTCTAGACGGCATCGACAAGGGAGGTCGTAATGCCCATCGATGGACTAAAGAATTGAAGCCGTGGGTGGCGACCACCACGCTCTCGGCCGAAGGGCTCGTCCTCTCGGATCCTTTGTCGCTACTGCAGGCTGAGGGGACTAGGTTCGGTGAGCTTTGGAACTCGAAGTCCCACCCTCCTGAGGCTAGCAAGGAACCCATCGAATACTTGGAAGGCCTAAGTCCCCTCACGCCAGACGATCTGATTGCTGTGAGTAAGTCCTACGCAGTAGGTGCAGCCACAAGTGTGGATGGCTTCTACATGCGCCATTTTTCGATGTTGCAACCAGGCCTCCTGTCAGTTTTGTGCACGCTCTACTACATGATGGAGTGTGCTGGGCTCATGGCCCACCAGACGCAGGCATTGGTCACTCTCCTCTTTGCCAAGCCAGCAGGAGGATATCGGCCGATAGGCGTTTTTCCTGCATATTACAGATTGTGGGCGAGAGTTCGCCGCCCCTACGCCGAGCGATGGGAAGCCGATCATCAGCGGACCTACCTAGCAGCGGGTTCCTTCAATTCAGCGCTCGACGCAGTCTACAGGCAAGCCGTCAGAAACGAACAGTTTGTGGGGAAAGGCAAGGCGGTAGCTAAGATCCTCTGGGACCTCTACAAGTTCTACGAATCGATTCGGCTTCCTAAGCTCATTGCACGTTGTGAGGCACAAGGTTTTCCCATGCAGATCTACAGGGTCTCGATCAAGGCCTACGGAGGAGCTCGATTTATATCTCTTGGGGGCCTTTTGCACGGCCCGCACTTCAGTGAGCACGGAATTGTTGCTGGTTGCAGTTTCGGTACTACGTACATTAGGGCCTATGTTACCCCCACGATGGACCTCCTGAGGCTCCCCTACCAGGTTCAGCTCGACATCTACATAGACGACTACGGTATATCTAGCAGTGGGCCTGGGAAGTTTGTAGTGTCCTCGCTGAAGCTGGCCTCGACTGAGTTGCTTATTGCCCTCGAAGAGGACATGGAGTCGCAGATTTCTGATGAGAAGGCAGCAGTGGTCTCCTCCGTCAAATGGGTAGGTCAGGCAGTCAAGTCTTTCTTTGGGAGGTACGGAGGGCCTTCCGATGATTGCCGCACTGCTATCAACCTTGGTATCGACGACGGCGCTGGTCAGGCGCGTCGTGCCAGAGGACGGGGTCGCAAAGCTGCTGCTCGTTTTCGGGTTTTTCGACAGAGAGTCAAGAGAGCTTTCAAATGCCGGCAGGCGCTTGGACGTCATTCCCGTGAAATATTCGTTTCTGGGCCGGTGGCTTCGGTGACGTATGGGGCGGCTGTCTTTGGGGCGCCTGATCATGAAATGGGGCTCTTGAGGACGGGTTTCGGCAAGGCTGTCGAACCATCGGCGGGGTCGAGGTCCCCAACGGCTCTGTGTATTCTCGAGAACGACCCGATATACCACGCTTCTATCGCACCTATCGCTCGGTACTCCAGAAAGGTTTGGGGCGCCCAGGTGCAGCAGACTCCGTTCGCTTTAGGATTTCGTGAGCTTCGTGCAGCCTGGGAAGATGTCTGGGCTAGCCCGCCAAGCTCGTGGCGCAGAGTACTCGGCCCGATGGGCGCCATGTTTCTTTCGCTCAGCCGTATAGGCTGGTCCATGACGTCCTTTGCGCAGCTGAAGAACGATATTGGTGTCGAGTATTCCCTGACCATCAATTCCACTCAGCTTATCAAGCAGTTGCTGCACGAAGGAGTGGTCAGGATGCTTTGTCGAATTTCAGGTCAGAAGCTCGGTCTTCAAGGCCGCGCATGTTACGACGCTGTGATCAGAGACTTGCGCATCTCGAAATACTCCTATTCCGAGAAGGGATGCATCCGTGCCAATGCCTGCGGGGCCTGTTGGACCCAGGAGAAAGCCGTGTTCCTCGGATATCAAATCCCTGAGGTCTGCTGTTCTCTGTGTGGCGGCCCTTCAGATTCAATGTGGCACAGGTTCTGGGTGCGCCCTGCGGTCGACGATCTCAGGAAGGAGCTTTGTGATCCCGAAGTGTTGCAGGCGAGTTCCGAGGTGGACTTAGCCACCGTCTCGAATGACAAGTTCGTGTTGTTCACGAAAGGTATCTTCACCCACCCCTGCGAGCACCTCCCGATGCCCTCCCAGGAAGGTCCCCCTTATGATCCATTGGGAAGCTCCTCAGCACGATGATTCTGATGAGCAACTATTCTCTGGGGGCGCGTTCTTCGACGGATCATGTAGGAAGCGCGCAATTACGGAATTATGCAGGGCAGAGTGGGGCTTAGCTGTTTACGAGAATCATAGGAATTTGCAGCGTGTCATGTGCCCCCCCCCCTTTGGGACAGGTTCCCCCGGACCTCCCAAGCGGCGGAGTGCAGTAGCCCGGCCTACGGTTCTTTCTGTCTCCTGGGGCCCTCAGATGGCTTCAGTGATTGCCTTAATGTTTGCAAAGCGTTTCTCATGGAGCGACCCAAGCGTCTCTCCTACAAGCGGCCTTATGCAGGGCTGATGATAAATGCGCTTCAGACTAAATTGAACAGCCTTCCAAGGTGAAGGCTCACGTAGCGGATTCCCCAGATTTAACGGCCGACCAGCGGCATTTCAAACTTGGCAACGATGAGGCCGACAGAGCGGCCAAGCGAGGAGTTGACATGCGCGCCATGGGCTCTAACGCTGAATTTGATTTTGTAGACTGGCAAGTCAAAGTTGCCAAGAATGTCGGCCTGCTGGCAGCCCGTCTTCTTCCGTCTTGGCAGAGACTTAACCTAGACGGAGTGGATTTTATCGCCCCAGCCCGCGAGGTGGAGCCGCCCCCCCCCCCCTGTGGAGCAGTATCATCATGAGTGGGTGTGGTGTGCCACCTTCTGGCGCTGCATCGCGTGTCTCCGATGTCGCCGCCAGTATGAGAAGAAAAAAACGGTTTTTCAGGGTGCTCGGGCCAGCTCCCTGACGTGGCCCTTCCCATGCGTGATAAGGGCCACGCTATCACGGCCCCTCAGTGTTCGAATCAAAGTATGTTGTATGTTTGCCATCTCTGCTGCGGGCACAGCTGCGGCGGTCAATTCAGGAAGCTTCGCAAGTCGTGCATTCCCGAGCCCGAAGGGCCCAGGAAGTCTAAACACGCGTCCTCGGTCTTGAGGGCGCTGCGGAGGGGTGGACATCCCAAGCTGGCTGGAGCGACGTGCGAAGTGTTCGACCCTGCTGCTGAAGCGAGCGAATCTGATCCAGGTGATCGGGCTGAGCCCGACATGTTGGCTCAGGTCCGCAGGTCGCTTCGGGGGGAGGGCGAGCACGCCCCAGACCAGCACTCCCTTTCAGAAGGCTCGGACTGACCCTGCGCCAGGCGGGTCAACTAGTCGGAGTTTTTTTTCCCAACTCAACCCGAGCTGGCTCGGGTTCAGGGCGCCTGTCAAACAAAAAACCCTCCCCCCTCCTCCCTCCTCCCTCCTCCACCTCCCTCCTCCCCCCTCCCCCCTCCCTCCTCCTCCTCCTCGGGGGAGGGGGGGGAGGGGGCGCAGGATGAGGGGGGCGAGGGTCGGGATGACGAAACGCAAGAGGAGCAGGAGGAAGGGGATCTAGCTGCTGGAAGCAGGGGGGGCGGCGGCCGCGGGCCTTCGCAGTGAACATGCACGCGGCGTAACACGGCGACCACGACAACGACGACGACGACGACGGCGACGGCGGCGACGGCAGCGGCGACGGCAACGACGACGACGAAGAGATAGAAGCGCGACCCAGCGAAAGAAGCCGACGACGAGGAGGGCAGGGCGGGGTAGGTGGAGTGGGGAAGGAGGAGGAGGAGGAGGAGGAGGAGGAGGAGGGGATCAGGGTTTGGAGGAGGAGGAGGAGGATAAGGAGGAGGAGGAGGAAGAGGAGGAGGAGGAGGAGCAGGAAGTGGAGGAAAAGGTTTGTTTGAACTCAGGCGAAACACAAATGCGAAACAAAGCCGAAACATGCGCAACATACTTGCGCATGTACACAAATCTTGCGGCGCATGCCACATGAAGTCCGCGCCGTCTCCTAGATGCCGACGCGGTCGTAACATCGCGCGTGCTCGCTAAGATCATGCGCGCGTGCTCCGCCAATCGCGCTAGTTATATAGCCACGCGCACTTTTCCTAAGACTGAGCGCTGCGCTCTTCGAAACCTTAGCATGCACCAACGAGTGAGACGCGACCTCTTAATCTTAAGTGGGGCCTCTTAATGTTAAGAGGCACCGCGGCGCCTCTATATATACATATATATATATAGATAGAGGCCAAGAACCTCAGGGCTCCGAAGCGGGCGCAGGCAGGCCCCGACGAGAAGACTGGCGCCGAGCGCCGCGTGTCGCGGACAAGCACGGGGCGACCCGCCATGTCCCGCGCCGCATTGTTTTCCATTTTCAAGAATGGGGGGATCTGAGTCCGCGCGAAGCAGTATTCGGAAGACATGGGGAGGTGCATCCGCAATGACTTTGGTGACTAGGTGGCGCTGCGCATCGGGCGCGAATGGGTTGACGGATCCATTCGCGTCAGGTCTGTCTTGGGCGGCGCGCCCTTGCCCTTCCCTCGAGAGCTCCGAGCGGCGCGCCGGAAGCTGGCCCGGCGCCGCGTGGTCACTCTGGTGGGCGAGGCGCCTTGCCACGCTGGAAACGTTTGCACGGCGGCGAAGAAGACCGGCCTCAAAGAGCAGAGGTCCGCGCTCTTCGCTTCCAACAGCGCTCCATTCGTGCTCGAGGAACTGCTGGGGCGACAATCTGCGGCGCATCGCGCACTCCGTTTGCGCGCGGGGCGAAGGGGGCGGCGGGGGGAGGCGAGGGGG